ATATAATAGAAAGAAAGAACTATATAAAAGGTGCGGAAAATGTTTGTTAAACATAAAAAATTCCACGCTCATCACAAGGGCTGAGAAGGGAATTGTTGTAAAAAAGTCCTTTTTTCTTTACATTCCTTTCTTTTTTCCTGTTTTAATAAGTATGTCTTCTTGTCTAGACTTATAGACCACGTTTATGCTACAAAAACAGAGGGGAAAAAGTGTGACTCTTCCTTTTTTGGTGTTTGTTGAGCCCCTTTTTTCTTCTCTTTTTACATTCCTTTGTATTTTAGAAAGGCGTAATTTTGTGCTGCCATGCAAATTTGTTCAAGTATTTGCATACTTTGTTTTTCGTTTCTTTTCCTTTTCCCTTGTGAATGAACGAGACACAATTGAAGTTGTTTGTGCTTTTTTTTTTCATTTTTAATCTTTGGTGCGATAAATTTTTAACTAACATCCTCCTCATTCCCCCTCCAATAAAAAAAAAAGGGAAACAAATTTTACATCGGAATGCTAAAGGTGAGGTACAACTAATTAGGCTTTGCTGCAAAAAGCTATGAAAAAAAATGGTGTGAAAATCCTAACTTGAACTACAAGAGTCGTTTCAAAGAATCGTATCAGGGGTAAAAAGGAACAGTTCTCACTGAATGCCTCTTTAATCCTTTATTTACATTTTTTTAGAAATGAAAAATGAATGTTTATGGTTCTAAATTTGTATATGAAAAAACTAAAGCCTATTTAACTCAGAAAAAAATACTTTAATTTACATTTTCTAATTTCTTAATGCACGTCTGTATACAGCTATATTTATATCTGTAGCAGATGAATAAGTTGACATCAACTTTGCTGCAGTCAATAAATCACTTTGGTAGTATCGCTTTTCTTTCTATCCGACACACATTTTTCTTTTTCAAATTACCCATCAGTTTAGTTATATTTTTGTTGTTGTTTTACACGTTGTAGGGTTATACAACTTGAAGGAACATTTCATTTTGAACTAAGAAAACAAAAAAAAAAAGTGTTTGCTTCTTTGTTTAGCAAGAACAGTAAGCTGTGATTTTCATTGAAGAATTTTTTGAATAATTATCGTAAATTTAAAATAGAGGGTGCTTATACACATCCATATTTAAATCAGTGATCAAAAATGTTTCGGAATAAGTACGACACTGACATTACCACATGGAGTCCCAATGGTCGCCTTTTCCAATTGGAATACGCGAATGAAGCTGTAAACAATGGTTCAGCAGCGGTGGGGGTTAAAGGAGTTGACTACGCCGTTCTCGTGGCACTTAAGCGCAGTCCTGCTGCGGAATTATCTTCTTACCAGGAAAAAGTCTTTGAGTTGGATGAGCACGTTGGCATGGCGATTTCTGGCCTGGTATCCGATGGACGTATTTTGGCTCGTTTTATTCGAGAGGAGTGCATGAATTACCGTTACATGTATGGTGGAAGCCTACCTATTAATCAACTTGCCGACATGCTTGCTGAAAAGCATCAGAGGCACATTCAATTTGCGGGAAAGCGTCCTTTCGGTGTGGGTCTTCTTATTTCTGGTAGCGATCGACAAGGGCCACATCTTTATCAGACATTGCCCACCGGAGACGTTTTTGATTTCAAAGCAACTGCCATGGGTGTGCGCTCCCAGGCGTCGCGCACATATCTGGAAAGACACTATCAGACATTCACGAGCTGTTCACTGGATAAGCTTGTTATGCACGCGCTAAATGCACTTGCTTGTGCCACTTCAGAAGGGGTGGAGTTAAACATTAAGAATACCACCATCGCAGTGGTTGGAAAGGACACTCCTTTTACAGTTCTTGACGAAGAAGCTTCGAGAAAGTATTTGGATGGATTTAAAATGAGCCCAGAGAGTCGTGTGGTACAGGCTGAGAATGAAGAGGAAGAAGTAATTACTGAGCAGCCGCTGGATCTCGATGAATAAGTAATCAATGAGGCTAATACCCTGAAATGAAAGAGGCGAGTACATGTGTCGTTCCTCATTATTATTATTATTATTATTAGTATTTCTCACAATAATACGTTGAGTGCACAACTGGAAGGAGAAATGCAAGTGACTTAGTATTTTAGACAGTGGCTGTTAAAATGGTTTATCAGGTGATGAAAATATATAACCACGGCAGCTGAAACTTCGAGATTGACGAACTCCATGTAGAAGTTAGGGGCATCCTCTGCTTATAAGGGGTACGTGCAAGATGTCATATCACTATTTTCATACCAGTTTTTAGTCTTCTTTTCTCTGCCTTTTATTTATGGTAAGCCAAATAGTACGTTGATTTATCCTTCCATAATTATAACTAAAAGGAAAAATGCCCCGCAAAGCTACCACAAAAAAGTCGACTTTAAAGTCGGAAGCCGCTGCTAATAAAAAGAAGCGTTCCTCCAGTAGTGATAGTGACGACAGCGAACATAGCACCTCAAGGCGGGGTCCGAAATTTGAAGAATTCACCGAGGAAGATGCGCTCATTATAGATCAACAGCAACCAAGCCCCACCACAAGCAGCCCGCAAGCGGTGTCAAATATGGCCACTCCAGAGCCAGAGGTACCTGCTGGGGACGCACCCAAACCCAACGTTGGCATTGAATTACCACAAGGATATGACCAAAATGAACAAGTATCGACTTGTGATGTGAGATTTTCAGCGCCGGATTCCGCTGCATTGGATGAAGTGGTGCCCGTGCCCGAGGAAGAATGTGTGCCGCTTGCCGCGGTAGAGGCGGTGTATGTAAACCGTGCCCAAGAAGCCATCAATGGCCTACTTAAAGAGCCAGCGCCACCACCGAAAGACATCAAAAAAGCTACCCAGGACAGTGATACATCTCCTCCATTGCCAATAGAACTACTACAATTGTTAAGCGAAGGAAGACAGCGATGATCATCATTATTTATACAATCTATGAGCAATGATAATTATAACGGAGCATATTATTGATGGTGTTGAACCGATATTTCTAAACAAATATGCGACTAGTTTATAATGAGATTTAAGTGTTTGACGTCCTGATTTTTGATTTATTTTTACATTTGTCAATTCTAATGACTCAGTTTGAGTGATCTCGACATTTAATATTACTCCTTTACGTTCTTTCTTGCTACAGATTTTTAACAGTTCACATCTTTTGCCCAGGTAGACCTCAGGTTCCCCTTCTTTTCCCGCTACAGTTGCAGATTTAGTTCGTGAACTGTACATTTTCCCACAGATTTGGATAAATAATAAAGTGAAATATGCATGTGGATCTAAATTGATCCATATTCAGATTCATATATATATATATATATATAATAGAAAACACTCCATAAATATTAAAAGACAAAAAGAAAGCTGAAATAACTTTTATTAAGGCCATAGCAATGCCACGAAAAAAAACTAGTCGAAACGACAAAGGCAACAAGCCAGATTCTTCTCCGATCTCCTCTGCCTTGGCAGAAGAAAGTTTTGGTGTGGGATCACTTCCAATGGAAGACACCTCAGACAGGGGTGCGGCAGCTATAATTTCCAGAGATGCTTCCGTCGGCCAAAGCCAACGGCCACATGGTACTACACTCAAAAATTCAAGTGACGGTAAAGACACTAAACCGCGCGAGGATGGAGATAATGGTCCAGATGGTGATGATAATCCTCTTGTCGATGCCACCCTACAGACTCTTCTCAGCAACGCCACTCCAATAAACCAGGCAGTGGATAATATTTTGGGCGTATATAAACAGAGTGATTCAGTGAGCGCTTTATGTGTTATACTCAATCTGGTTGCCAAAGCTTCTGGTGTTACTGAAGTCGAGCTGGACGCTGATGCCCTTACGGATGGAATAGATATCACTTCTTTGTTGGAGGAACTATACGTGCGTGTGCCAGAAGACGCCACCGCTTACCTCTTGGTCAATAAAGATCCAAAGTATCGTCAGTTTCGTCGACGATTTCCCATTTTTTTTGAATCTCTTACACAGCATGCCGTAATTAATGATGTCTTGCTTGATGATAACTTGTTGCCGACCCTCGCGCGGTGGTTCATCAGCATGAGCGAAAGCAAATCACGCAGCTTCAGGCATACAGCTACGTTAGCCATTTTAGGTCTTGTACAAGGCCTCAACAAAGTCATAGCGCAACTTCAGAGCCACAATGTGATGACGAATACCAGGAAAGATGCGAAGGACTTCGGGAAAAAACTAGAAAGCCTTCTGCAATGGAGGGATCACTTTTTCTCTCAAGCTATTCATCAACGTCTGCGCGACATCGCCGCGGAGATACGTCTCTGTGCGGTTCAATACCTGAAGGAGTGGATCTGGAACTTTCCAGACGAATTTATGGTAAATAAGTACCTGCGGTATTTCGGAATGACTTTGCATGACCCACGACCGGAGCTTCGTGCAGAGTGCTTGGATATGATCCTGCAAGCACTGGCTCGGGTGTCGGACGCATACAACCGAATGCATCTTTTTCTTCAATATTTTGCCAACCGTTTGGTTGAGATGAGTAACGATATTGATGTTCGATGCACTGAATTGGCTATTCGCGTGGCAGCCATGATGGTTCGCAGTGACAGGAGCACGTCGGAAGGCAACGAACTGCTTAGTAATGAAATGATTGATCGCGTACTTCTGACGCTTTTTGACGAGCGACCAACAGTGCGGCACGCGGCAGGTGTCCTGTTGAAGGTTTTCATTCATTGCCGAACGGTAGGAGAGGAAAGTGAAGAAGAGCAGATGCAGGCCGCAACGGAGTTGCTATGTTCTTTTATTAGAACCTTGAGGACACAAAATCAAGAGCGGATGCCGGAGAAATATCTGGTTGATGCTTTATGGAGCCCAGAGCAACCACCTCAGATTCTGACAGCATATGAACCCATCCTCAAACAAGTCAAGGCTTCCACGTCTTCACTTGATCTCGTTGTTTGTGTGAGGCTCTTAACGTCTCTCATCGAAAAAGTAAATGGAAAACTGAGACTTGGGCCGGCACCGAAGGATGACCGTCGAAATGCAGGCCATCTCAAAAAAGCAAGCATGACTGTTCAAAAAAGCCTAGACGATCTTGTGAAAAGTGTCACTGTGGGCCTCGGCCTTGCGCTCTCTGGTGTCATGGCAAAACATCGCGGCGACTCAAAAGTCTTGTGCGCAGTGGCTGACTCGGTAATAGCCTTTGATTTGTCGATTTTTACGCCACGCCAGCAGATCTCAGCCCTAACGGATTTTATTCTTGAACTGCGAAAAGCTACCACAGCTGTTGTCATACCTACAGTTATCTTTGGTGTAGATAGTACGCATGATGCACTAGTGCGTGCCTGGCATGCCCTAGCCCTTAGCATAAATCCTCTACAGAGTGTCGCCCAAGGTCACCTTCAGGAAGTTCGAAAAGAAATCCTCAAGCAACTTGCACTGGCCGAAAGTCCAGTTTTATCGACTACTAAGCAGCGTTTTAAGAAAGAAGAGGAGTTGATTCATGTGTGGGGCCGCTTCAGCTTGATCGCGTCGCTTCTACCTACCACAGATCACTGGGATAGCATCACGAAGGCGCTCTTACGTCAGATTCGTCAGGAGACTACAGTAGACATCTCCTGGTTTCGTCTCTTGGCATTTATCATTGACACTGCCATGAACAGTCTTCTGTCACAGATCAACAGCGAACAACAGACAGAAGGGTCGATTGGTACGACACAGATCACCGAGCGCGTTTCAGAGCTGGTAGGATTCCTCCTCCAGACCTTAGCAATTACCACGCAAGAGCTGACCCACCAAATTGATACCGAGTCTTCGCCACAGGACTTCTTGGTCATACAACGTGATGAAGGGGCTGTTTTGTTGAGCGTAAGGTCTCTATCGATCCACCTGAGGGTTCGGGTGCTGAGTTATTTGTACGACTTGGTTGCACTCTCCTACTATAACGTGCCACTGTACGAGCAAAGCACTCTTGTTAAACGCTTCGAAGAGATCTTTGAAGTTCTCTGCACGCAACTGCGTGAGGCACAAGAATATCTAAAATCTACTACAAATGCATCTAAAAACGATAAGGGGGTACTATCAAATATCGCAGAGGCTCGTCACCAGTATACTCACTTGGAAGCGACTCAGATGCGTCTGGTTATTGGGCTTTGTCGTCTGTTTCTTTTCAAGCGTCTGGGGGTGGGTTTGGCACCGCGTGTATTGACTCAGTGGACACACAGTTCCTCCAAGGCAGTGTCTGATATCTTCAAAAGCCTCTTTCATTTCCTCCGTAACATGTCTGGCGGAAGCTTCGAAATTGAGCGGGATATTATTGTTGAGGCGTATAATCGATGTGCTGAAGTCGGCGCGACGCCTATTTCTGTGGATGCGCTTTACCAAATGGGATCCAAACTGGCATCGATGCATTTCTTTGTAGCCGACCGTTACTACGCGACATGCAAACAGTTGGTACAATTTGCGGTAGACTTCGCGGTCACTACGGATCCACTCATTCTACAAGCTATCATTCCATATTGTAGCAAGCTGCGCGTGGCGGATGCAATTCAACTTTTACAACATGATATTCCAAAGGGAGGAGATCTTTTTATGAATCCAGTTAACTCTTATACACGTGCGTTCTTGAGCTCGCTACACAGGGCGGCAAAGCTAGAAGGTGCAACACTGCCTTCATCTGCACCAACTGTGAAACGTCCGAGGGAGGTAACATTGACACAACATGATGAAAACGATCTTATAGAGAGCATTGCCCAAGGGCTTCACACATTTGGTGAGCCTAACCACCTTAATGGTGCTCAAGACAGAGCTTCCCAAGCATCATATCAACCAGGTGGTTTAGTTTATCCTTTGTCCGAATCTCATCCTGATAAGATATCGACCTTGACTCGTCTGGTTACTGGGGATGTTTGGAATGTTCCTGCTGTGTCGCAAAATTCGGAGGAATCCGAAGGGGTCTTTGTGGAGCTCTCTCCAGGTGACCAGCAGGGCAGTACAGCAGGAGACCGCCGCTGCCACCGCTCTGTGATTAATGTACCTACTACACAGGAGATAGCGACAACACTTGTGTCTGGAGGTGTCGATACTGAAGTCTTCATCGCGACGCGTGAATTTGAGTAGCTTGTTTACCTGATGTCGCTCAAGTGGTGCGTCACCGGTAAATAAATAACTTAAAATAGTTAAATTTCTCTTCTTCTCCCTTTACAGTTATTATAGAAAATCATTAACGACGCCGACTTCTTTTTTGTGTGTATATCAATACCTTTTTTGTGATTCAACAAATGACTACTTTTTCCGCTTGAGAACTATTCAGAAGAAACACACTTAGGCGCTTCGTTTTCATAGAACTTGGTAGTTTGTACATAGAGAGAACTTTATCATCGATTATTGTTTTATGCGTTTTATTCAATTTAACTACTCCCCTTCTTCTAAAACGATTCCTGATACTAGGTGAAAAGGATTTGTGTTGGTCTCATATTTTGATCAGCATAGATTAAAAAGCCAGCTTGTTGAATGCGGCGCTAAAATATTTTTTTGCATGATAACATGAGATCGATGTAGTTTCTATATTTTTCCTTTATTATTATTTTTCTTTTTAGAAAAAAAAGGTAGGCATTTACTTGATTACCTTTCTTCTTCTTTTTTTAAGTAAATTTTCAAGTTAAGTGACTTTAAGAGTAGGTTCAAACTTTACACAAGTATAAAACTTTTTCTTTAACCTTTGCTGTTTGCTGCCTTATAAAAGACAAATCACATTTATACATAACATTTATACATTTACATATAGAACAATACCATCGGTTTATTTAGCATATATCTGACCCTTTGGAAGAGTACTGAACGTTGTTTATGTCTTTAAGTCTTTTTTACTAGATAAATTTTTTTTTATCTCTCTGTACTTGAACTACGCTATTGACCGAGTTATATTTTGAGAAAATTAAAACAAATACTGATTAGTGGAATTAAATAGAATGCTTTACGAACGTACAAGGTTCAGAGATAAATTACCACAGGTTCCCCTCTATACTGACGAAGCAGTATTCACTTCTGGTCCCTTAAATATTGGAGTAGAAAAGAACATTCTTACCCATGAAAGCCGAACCTCTTTTATGTGTCGGGACTGTTCTTCTCAAAAGGCTACCGATGAGTCGAAGAAAAAAGCTGCTGGGAGTAGCAGCCACGCCACCGGAGAGCTGGCATTATACGCGCACCACGGCCAGCTGCATCATACAGACAAACCAACCCATGTTGAGGTTCTGCCATCCTCCTTTTACGACCCGTACAGCTGGCTCCAAGCATCTCAAGAATTGTACCGTGAAGGCTTCACCAAAAATGCTTGGATAGCCCTTTCACACAGAAAGCGCGCCACTTTGAACACTCACAATGTCGTCCGCGCTGCGTGTTGTGTTCGCGTGCTTCCTCAGTTGGATGTAATCAAGGCTGCACTCAAGAAGCCCGCTGCGGATCAACGTCGGGAGTGGTACGAAATGTGGGAGTCAGCATCCGCGTATGGCGGCGACAGCCGCAATGGAACTGGAACCCGACTACGTGGTTCGCCCTCCGACGAAGCCTCCATGGCATACATCCCCACGCCGCACATTTGGGCCGCAATTAGTAAGCCAGAGGGGCATGAAATTAACGTGCACGACGCCTTTACTGGTGCACGCCTCCTACGCATCTCGGAGCCTAAAGGACAGCTAACTGTAACCAGTCTCCTTCATGCTCCTTTTCGCGGCTTTATGGATCGACAACTGAGGGTGATATCTATTCACAAACCAAAGGACTTACTTCGCTTAAAAACTCAGCAGCTAATCGAGACCGACTACGTTTGGGTGGGGTTTACGGACGGTTCGGTCAGACTGTTTCCGGCCAACCCGAATCGCATTCGCAACACGGATCGTTCCGAGCAAATGGTGAAGGGTGAACTCGAGGACGTAGTTTTTGAGCTTCCCAAGTACCACAACGCCAGTATCGTCGCCATTTCACGGAGTCCCTGTCATGAAGATGACAAGGGCATGGACTTATCGACCATGAACCGGCTTAGCGCGGCCATTCAATATATGACTGCAGCCAGCGCTAAGAGCTCCGAAGACAGCCGAGAGCATCTTTCTCTAATGTGCACGGCATCCGTCGATTCATGCATCGTGGTATGGGATGTTCGCAAAATCTATCAAACCATGGAGGCTATGCGAAACCACAAAGCAGGGGGGACCCTTCGGGGCCCCAATTCACGTGGAACTAAATGGGGGGATTACAAGGACGCGTCTTTGGGTGCTGTGGATAGCGTATTCTGTCCGGATTCAGCCTCCAGCGAAGTGGTTACTATAGATGGTTATTCCTCGGGATCGTGTGACCATAAGAAGATCTTTTCCATCCGCTCCACCTGCACGATGATCAAGGTGCGACCGATATTAAAACTGAAGGGAGGTGTGACAGCTTTGAAAAGCATCCAGTGGGTATCTACCCTTGTCACCACCGAGGGTTATCAAGTAGGTCGTCGTGTAGTTGATGTCACTCGCGATGCACAGGAGCAAAGAGCTCCTAAGTTTGTGAAAAACTGCCGTGATGTTCAGCGACTAACACGGTTTCAGCGTCGTGAGGAGCATCGCCGTGTGCTGAGGCTAGATGAAAGCGAAATGCAAGAAGTGGAAGAGGAGCTAAAGAGTCTCATGCCCGCATTGTCAGACGAACCTATGCAATCTCTACGAATTAACTTGATTATCGCCGGCGACAGTGTAGGCTCGATTCATCTGTGGAATCTCGATGAGGAACTGCGTTACAAGCAAATGCAAGATCCATTTGATTGTGGTGTCGGGCTTGAGAAATATGATGTTAGTCCACAACAAATTGGCTCTCCGATCGGGACGATACCCGACGGCAGCTCCGTGAGCATGCGGAACCTCTCCGTAAGCCCTGGACGCACCAGTCTTGGGTCCCACCAGATGTGTTACAGCACTGCTAGCCCATCCGTCCATATGAGTGCTATAGAAAGCGTTTCGAAGGCCCCTCGAAGTGCGAAAATCAAGGGAAAAGAGCCGAAAACTGCCCCAAAGAGAGTCACTAGCACAGTCACTGTTCCATTGCTCAGTGGCCCATCAAAAGGCCATGCGCCTCTTTCTGCACAAAAGAAAACTGGTGCTGTTATTCTGGGGAAAGAAGCCAAATCATCCCTGTTAAGTAGACCAAAGGTAGTGGCTGCAGCTGACAGCGTGACAACTGTGCGGACGACCAAGCGTCCCTTGTCGTCTGTCACTCCGTCTCGGTGGAGGACCCCTGGCCGTCCAAAGGAAGAAAAACATTCCAAGGATGCTATTGAACCTCCAATGGTTAAAGCAGAAGCGACCCATCTTCTTCAGGGTCGATTTAGTAGGCTACAGAAGCTAGCGACCCTACAGCGCGATGTGCACGTCCCTCTGAAAGCGATCAATGCTATCATGAATTCCAATGACATGATCTTGACAGCAAACAATAACCCTTCTAATGAGGCCGCTTCGAATCCTCAAGCTAAGCGGCGGTCTAACGTCGCTTCAAGGATGTCAACGCCAGCAAAATCCACCAAGTCCATTCGTCAGAGGATCTCACAAAATCAAGTAAATGCTACAAAGGAAGAGAAAAAAACAACTTCTGTTTCCTTATCATGCCGAAAGGGAGGGGAATCACAGACCACTGACCGTGCTACTCAAAAAAATACTAATACTCGGGGGAAAGTCCTAAACAACTTACTATCCACACAGCGAAAGGCCAGCACGAGCCCTAAACCTGTAACACGAAAAGACATCCTGAGCCGTGTGTCTAAGTGTCGCATTGAGTTCACAGGTGGAGTTGCCATCACTGGTATGGCTGTAGACATCCCTAATACTCTTCGGATCACGCTACGCCAATCTCCCAACCCTGTGGAACGACTTTTTTCCCTAGTGGAAGAGCCCTCACCGGAGGAAGTGGAACGACGGAGATTGGAAAATTCATTTGAGGAGATGACAGAGGATAAGGCACTCTTTTTTGTCTTCCAGAAATTACAGCTATATGTGGCAGTGGAGGGGATAGTTCTAAATCTTGAATGCACACCGTCTTGGCATGAAGACGCCGACGGGTATGACTATTTCAAGCAATTGAAGAACTTAGATCAGGGAGATGTAATGTCCTCCCTTCTCGCGTCTACTCAAATAGAGGAGATACCTGTAGTTGGAGAGGTGGGATTCCCCTGCTTCAATGTACAACTACGGAGGAGAACCCTAGAGGTACACTCTCAGCCTGTAATAAATCTTTTTTTTGACAACACCCGCGGGTTGATATGGGTGGCGCGCAACGACGGTCTCCTTTCGCTCTTTTCAAAACACACAAAGCGAATCGTGACACGTATAGCGCATCCCTGCGCGGATTCTGCACTTGGACCACCACTTTACGCGGAGTGGGAAAAACAACAGCAAGCTTATCTTCGGGAGTCCAACCTAGGGCACTCACACCTTCGCCTGGAGCGGCATGAGGAGACCAAAGGCTATGAACCTGCCCATTTTAACAGTTTCTTGCCCTTTTCCAAGAGATCACAAACTACATTGATATTGCTCTCTGGCCGGCAACAAACCCACATGGAGGCCTTTATGTTTGGTGATCCTCATTCGCTTTGGTATGAAGCTGAGAAGTACGCTAATTCCTTTGGATTAACTAGATCTTTTGACACACGTAACTGTAGCGGGCATTCTTCCTTAGGGTTGGTTTTCATACAAGCCCAAAAGCTTGATGGGCGCTCGGATATGGATGTGCATGCATGTTGCCGCGAAATGTGCTCAAGTAATTTGTTTTATCGATTTCTTTGCTACCGTGGCAGGGCTGACCAAGTACGCCGTGCACAGAAGGACAACTACCAGTTTGAGTGCAACCTTATCAGTGACCGTGTGCGTTATATAATGCAAGAATTATTAACCTGCACATCCTTCTTGACTCTTTCTCGGTGTTATGACATTTGGAAGAAGCATTCAATGAACTATCGTCGCGAACACACTTTGAGGCGCCAACGCGCGTCGCGAATTCAACAGCTGGCTCCTATTGCCAATAATGCGATGCGAAACACAACAATTACACAGCAGGGCCGATGTTTTTACGTTTGGTTTAGTTGGTATGCTAGAAGGGTCCTAAGGTACAGGGAACACATACAACAAAAGTTTTATATTCACTTGATGACACCTACACGACGTCTTCCGACAGGGAAGATGATGCAGTGGCTTTGGGAGCAACACACACAAGCCCAAGTTTTTAAATTCTGGAAAAATTTAGTAGGGAAAAATGCTCCTCTGATTCGAAATGCGCATTCCATCTCAATGACTTCTACACGAACTCTGTCACCGATACCTACCCCTATTGTTGCCTTTAAAAGTGCCCTCCAGGGCTGTAATAATTTGATGAACATCAGTCCACTTGTGCGCACCGAAACTCGTACTTATCTAGCTGGTTCAGAACCTCAAGCTCCTGGATTTATTAGAAATGTTCCGGAATACCACACACAACCGGGTAAGTATTACTGCAATGACGATAATGTATTTAGAAAACAAGACAAACTTATGTCAGCACCAAACTATACCTGTTCCACACTTCACATTGACCCATTCCATCAAGAGAAAGAAAATATTACTTCAACTGGTGCCTTTACTGAATCGCATCGTGAGGACTCCAATCTTGTTTTAACATTTCTTGAGATAATGGTCTTGCTTTTTGATTCACGGCATGTGATGATGAAATTCAAAGAGAGCAACTCATCCTCACAGAGTGTTCTGGATGAGTCCTGGCTCTCCATTGTGGAGAGTAGTGAGGAGGGTGCCAAAGTAAACGACGAAGATGGGCACCGCTTAGCCGTCTTTTCATATGCCCTACTCCCACTTTTGCAAGGATTCCTATCAACAGCTTCAGATGTCCTTTCCAATCTAAACGATCCGTCTGTATCCGATGAAGTGGCTTCCTTGATGTGTGGGGTGCAACTCTGCATGGATTACGTCACAGCTGATTCCGTGTATTACTTGGAGAGCTTGTTGGTGCGAGAACAAACAGTGTGTAGTGATATTTCCACAGGTATTTTTTCCACTGACAGCGTAAATGGATTGTCCTCTGTTGGTTATGACAGCAAACACATGGAATATAATACAAATGGAACGGTATATGCATTAAAGAATGCGCGACTGCAAAATATAGAGAAACCGTTGAACAAAGTCAACACTTCCGATCCAAGACGACATGTCCTACAAATGGATAGTAATCTCGAAAAAACGATGAATCCGCACCTTATGTCGCCGAGCACCGTTTTTCTGAGCATAATGAGATTTTTCGTGCATAAAGCAATGAAGGATCAAGAATGTCTGGATGCCTTGAGGGAAGTGACTCGTGAGAAAGAAAGCTTAGAGGCATTTATTACATTTTTAGAAGATGAGAACGCTGTGGAGCGACGATGTCCACTTTTCACGTAAGGATGAAAATGTGGATAATATACTCCTTTATTTGTGTGAAAGGAGATGAAAGCATGATATATATTCCTTGTCACTTTTGATTTGACAGTAAATTATAATGCTAAGGGATTTTTTATATACATTTTTTATTTTCCCTCTCCATTTTCCTTCTCCTTATGGATAAAATATCATGGAAGTGCTGTACAAGCCTGATACACATGACCTGAATCTATTTTATTATTTTCAGCTACAATTCCTCATTATATCTTTTGGCATACCTTTTTGGATCTATTGTTTTTGCTAGACATTTCTTAGACTTATAGTCTACTGAGGGGGGTAATATGCATGTTGAAGTGTACAATATAGAGATATACACTTTTTACTTATTTTGCCTTTATATTGCTATTGAGCCACAATAATGCTCCTGACAATTTTTCATATAAATAAAACATTAAGTAGTGATAAGTAAATATCAGAAATCACCAAAAGGAACAGAAAAGTATAATACTATTTGTTAAAAGTTGCTGGATATTTTGTTATCGAATAATCTCTTCAAAGAGAACTAGAAGCTTGTTGTGTAACTTCAATTTAAGTTGTCATTTCAGTATTTGTAATCCAACAGAAAAGCTGATCTGTTCTCACGTTTTTTGTGCATCTCTTTCTCCTGTGTCTATTTACCATGTGAACTATCCAAAGTGGGTAATATTATGCTGCACTTTGTTTACTATCATTATTCTCAGGACAGTATTTCTTAGATATTTTTTGTGTGTACTGAATAGATAAAGCATACAGTTCATCTTGTTGCACGCAAGATTGTGCATATTAGAATAATTTAAATCACACGCTATAAGAGTAGTTTTTCATCGATAGACATATATTCATTATACTGCGTTTTATAGACTATCACATGTCCTCTTTTGTGGCTTCAGCAAATTTATCGACGGAAACCACTAACAGCAGCTTGCTTCGTTCAGGTCTGAATATTAGTGTGGGGGACACCAAATCTATTGTGCTTGCTTTGCAGGCTCTACAAGGGAAAATACGGGCTCTTGAGCAAGATCGCGACTTGCATAGGGACCAATATGAACGAATTCTTCAGGCACATGAGGCTTATAAGATCGATATGGAGCACCAGTTAGAGCGCGAGCGTGCTGTCCACCGCCGTCGTGAGGAAGAGCTTCAAGAGCTACTGCAAAAGGCTCAAGACGAGAGATCTAGAATCCAAGGCACCTTGAGTGGGAGTCAAGGTGACTTAACAACATTTAGAAAAGAAATTGAAGCTATGATTGAATCTGATAAAAATATGGCAACGCAACGAGAGCTAAAACTCCAGACCGAGATCACCCGTCTCCAGCAGGAAATCAGTGAGGAGAAGGCTAGATATCACACCTTACTGAATAATGTGGAGATGCTTAAGGGGGAACGTAGCGCTATCGAGGAGATGAATCTCAACTTGCGCGACGCAATTCATGAGCTACAAAATCAGAGACATCACACACAGCGGCAGCAGCAACCCGCAAGGATTCCGAACACCCGCCGTGGAAGACTACCAGGGGTGTCTAGCGCAGCCTCCAAGGGGTTCACTGCGTATAACAAAAGGGACTGCTTGTATCGTTGCTCTGGATATCGGGAGCCTACCTGTAATTCTCTGCTTCGGGACGCACGAAATGCGTTTGAGGAAGGCTTCTGTATCTGTGGAAAGGCCTACCCAACCGTAGATAGTCCAGTGAACACCCCTAGGAATAACCCTACCTTCGCAGGCGGCCTGTCTCAACGACAAGGACGAAGCACGTCCATCCACTCCCGCGTCCGGATTATCTCGCGTGATACCTCGGTGCTGCCTACACACCCTTTATCTTATAGAAAGCCTTCTCCTTCACGAAGTGTTCACACACAGGGGCCTGTACAGCATTACAGTACAGATAGCGTCAATCTCACCTCGGTGTCTCCAAGCTACCATCATAACTTAACCACCAGTAAGGGCGACTCAAAAGGTAACATCAGTATAGATGAAGTGGAGAAGCAGCTTGATGAGGAGCTGGAGGAGTTGCAAAAAGAATACCAAAATACCATTTCTCGTGCGAAGATCGAAAAATTTCCACGCCATGTCGTTAACGATACTCTGAAGCAAATTTCTTCGCACATTAACAGGAAGATGGAGCAAGTGGACTTGTTGCGGGCTGCCCGCCGCGAAATTGGACCCCCACGAACATTGAACGCAAATAGCAATGACATCAATCCCGACCATGGTATTGCAGATAAGCAGGTGCAGCGCAATCGTCTCGTGAATGAGCTCCGTTACATGTTAGCACAGTCTGCTGAAAGGCAGTAACATAACTACTTCAATAGTTAGATATTGTCTGTGTTTGTTTTATACACATAAGATCGTTTTTTTCCTAACTCGGTGTTTGGAACCGCTGTTGTTGTTGTTTCCACTCAACTTACCCCAGGGCTGTACTGAGAAAGAGTTCTATAATTGTTCTTTAGTTATTATCTTACTCAAAGAATAGTTGTTATAGTACTTATTACACGTTCTATATATTCTTGTTTTTATTTATTATCGATCCCTGGTGTTATTATCGAGTGTAAAT